TATATATATAATATATATATATATGCATTATTGATTACATTCTATAACTACATTTTAGGAGACGAATCTCATTGGATTGTGGAGACAGAGTACATTGAAACTAATTCTACTTACTCATTACGCCATCCGAGTTTTCCTAACTACTATCGTCACTGTCTGTATAGGCATTGGAGTATATCAACAGCGATAAACTATAAAATGAAGTTACGTTTTAAAACCATAATTATGGAGGAAGGTTTTGACTTTTTATATCTTGTTTACGGTATCAATCCAATAGTTGTAGAATTATCTGATAGTAGAAATGCTGATTTACTGATGACGCTTGAAAACACTTTTTTCGACTCGATGGAATTTTACGTATGCACAGACCTGATTACCGAGGGCCCTGGATTTGATATAACTATAACACCATTATGTAAGTTATTATTATTAGCATTGTCGACGGCGATGTCACCGTCACAACCACCATTGACGCCGCCTCCATATTATTAAGTGTAAAAATAATAATTATATTTTTAAAATGTTGTTTTCCTATAGTATACCAACATTTAGGCGTATGTTCACTTATTTATTTTATTGTTTATTAATATAGCGCCTTTCGAAGATACAAAGCGCCTTTGTCCCAGATCATTGGGTCCACAGGCGTAAGTTGCTGCAGTTAAAGTGTCTTGCTCAGAAACGCAGCGAGTGATTGCAACTCAAACCTTGAGGCTATGGGAAATATACAGTTTCGTTATCGCTATTATGCTGATATTTTTGTTATGTTCAGTGGCGGATCCAAGAATTTGAAATAGAGGAAGCCCAGGAAGGGACTTTCACAGAATATGGAGGGCGTAGACCTGCTCAACCCCACTATGGTTTAAGCTAAGGCAAGAAAATGTATGATTATGGAACTTCCAGATTTATAGAAATGCAAATCTCAGGCTTAAATTTGATTTTTTTTCCTGCAATTTTTTACTTTTGAAAAATTTTGGTTTGGGACGGGCGGGCTGGCTGGGACTCCTTCAATCTGCCACTGATGTTAACACAAACGTGGAATTGTTTTGATGAATATAACTTATATTTGCAAATACGGAGATCAAAGAAACCAAACTGTTCCGTTACCGCTTTTATGTTGATGCTGTTATGTTACATATAAACAAGAAAATGTTTTGATCATGAATTTGAAACTTATATTTGCAGATACGGAATCATCTACTGTAGAAATCGAGATCCCAGGTCGGTGTTTGAGATCAAAATTTGCTTTACTTTGTTTGCAACTTAACTGAATAAAGACCAATTATTAGTTGATATAATATACCGGTATCGAGAGAGGTAGAAAGAACGTGAGGGAGTCCGTCTATGCAAATTCCTTATAAAAGCGACCAACGAGAGCTTTATTGAAATTTCAAATCCGATTGGAAACTGATTAAACACTATATTTTTGCAAAGGCTTGCAACAACTATGACAGGGCCATCGCCCCCGCTACCACTGACGCCTCAACCGTATACTTAAAAATAATAATTGTTGCTATTATTATTGATCCGAGTTTCATTTGAAGTTTAACATTCCTTTAAACTACCAAACTCGGTGTTTTATATCTCAGAAATATTTTCATAATAATTATGTTGATAACGCTGTTAAGTTAGTATAAAAGGTGAAAATATTTTGATTATTATATATCTTGTATTTACAGGAGTGGAATCAACCATTAATCAAATCAAAAGCTCAGGTTTGTGTATAGTTTCTAACTTATGTTTATTTTCAATTATATTGAAATATCACAATTCGTTTATAAATTAGTACCGTATTTCATATGTTTATTAGGTTCATTTCATGCAGACAAATTGTCTTGCTCAAAGACAAAAGCGAAAGAATAAAAAAAAATTAAAAACACATTAATATAAAAAAGAAATGTACAACGAGGGATTGAAACCCCGACCTCAAGGTTAGGGAAACCAAACCCTTTCGCTACCGCTTCTATGTTGATAATGATGTTATCATAAAAATGTAATGTTTTGGTCATAAATTTCACATTTATTTACAGATACGGAATCAACAACTTTAGAAATCGAGATCCCAGGTCTGTGTATAAAATCAAATCTTGCTTTGTTTGTTTGCAACTTACCGGCAACTCAATGAAGATAGATTATTACTTGATATCAGTTTTTGTAAAATGCTGATATAGGTTGATATTTGACACACTTTGATTTGATATAACTATGACATCTGTATTGTGTAAGTTATTATTATTGGCGTTGTCGATGACGATGACGACGATGTCGCTGTCACCGCCACCACTGACGCCGCCTCCATATTATTAATTATAAAAATAATAGGCTAATTATAATTTTTAAATGTCTCAGTTTTCCTGTAGTACCAATATTTAGGCATAAGCCTATGTCTATTTATTCAATTGATTGTTTAATTATATAGCGCCTTTCATTAAGATACGCCTTTGTCCCAGGTCATTGGGTCTACAGGCTTAACTTCTTCTGTAATCGGCGCGGGAGCTTGCAACCCTACCGGGAAACCATACTTATGGGTGGAGAAAATTAATGCAGTAAAAGTGTCTTGCTCAGAAACAAAGCGAGGGATTGCAACAAAAACCTTGAGTTTACGGTAACTAAACCGTTTATATAGAGGGAATTGATTGAAACACTGACCTCGAGGTTAGGGAAACCAAACCGTTCTGTTACCGCTTCTATATTTATAATTTCCGTTATGTTATTACAAA